CCCTTTGGTGGGTGTTGTTTAGAGTAGTTATGACTGAGATACGGTGGATGGGTTGGTCATATCTAACAAGCCTCAGGAATGACAAAATGATTCCCTTCTGAGGACCTTTCACTACAGCAGTGCAGAATGTTTTTTTCATCTCGGAGAGATGTTCATAACATCTTATCCAATGAGAAAACCAAATGATAGCAGACTATTTGGACCATAGCAGACTATATAGGATGATATTACATAATGCAATGCCCGGGCCCCATTATGGTATTTTTTCCTCTACTCTGTTTTCCTCCATAGCACTTATCTTCATTTATATATGTAACTTATGTGTCCTGTTAACTTCCTCTCTTCCTCTGCACCATGAATGTAATAAGCTCCATGCCCCATAACATAATGGATACTCAAAATATATTATTAGTTTAATGAAAAAATTAAGCCCTAACTTTCTCCTCTGACAATCCTAATCATAACCTCCACACAAAGGAAAAGGGGTTAGTCTGGTCTCTAGCCACAAGTCTAACTTTCAGCAGCTGAAAACCCCATTCACCTCTCCTTAACGTGCTCAAGAAGAGCAAAGAGATCAATATTACTGGGATGTAATGAACTAGGGAGAGGGAAGTCAGAGATACAGTTGGAAGACAATGAAGGTGGATTTTGTCAAGCTTTTGGACTAACAATTCGACTCTGATTTTCTGGGGGCCTGTTACTCCAGGGTTCCTGATTCCTAGTTCAGAATCTATAAACAGCATCTATGACTGCACAGGGCATATCTATGTCTGGACAGGGCACAACCTGGAAATGCTTAGGGGAATTGTTTGAAGAAAGCTTTTGTTTATTTAACACACATTGTGTTCAGGGACCTGGGCTAGATAATCTTACATTCGTTGTTTTATTTAACACTGTAAAATTATACATTCCTCGCCCATGAAAATGTCCAGTTCATCTGTCTCTTTCACTCCCATACTTCTCTCCCATAGCCTGCGACCAAGACTCTAATCATCAGCTCCTGTTATTGCTCTCAAAAAATTAGGTCACTTACGGCTTTACTTATTTCCCTTCCAGCTTAAAATAGTCAAGCTCTATTAGCTAGTTTAGATTGGGTTATGTTGCAGTTACAAATGATCCCAAGTCTCAGACACTTACAACCAGAAAAGTTTGTTTGCACACTCCAGCTACATATTGATCATGGTAGGTTGTGACCTTTCTCTACATAATTTTCATTCTGGGTCCTTGGTTGGGGGAGTTCCTCCTACCTGGAATACTGGCAGAGGAAAACAGTTGGTGTTGAGCTACATCATGGTTCTTACAATTTCTTCTCACAAGTGACACCTGTCACTTCTGCTCACGTTTCATTGGCAATAGCAAGTCACCTGGCTATGCTGACATCAATGGGCTAGATATAGCATAATCCTCTCCCAGGGAAGGGCACTGCATATTTTTGAGCAATAATAGAACATACCAAAAGTGCATCCCTGTGGAGGCACACTCACTGTACCTGTCCTCCCGAGACCTCTTATCCTTCTTCCACACACACTGTGCCAAACACAGAACCGGGTCCATTCCCCCGACGTCTTGACTCTGGCTCTCAGACTGCCCCAAGTTATTGAAGGCTCTGCCCTCTCTGACGGCGCCAGTCCACATTCACGCTTGGTTTTCCTCCTTTACTGGACCACCATGATGCCCATCCATCTTTTCTTTTTCCCCTCATTAACTCTGATATTTGTCTGTTATTTTCAAGTTCACCCTCACACCATCCCAAACCCTTCAGTACCTGCAGAAGATGAGCCTCCTGCTTTTTATGGAAAACAGGGGCCTATAAGTATGAATTCTTCTAAAACTTGTAAACCCTTCTCTGCATTCCTTTTCCCCTCTCTGCTCTGCTTTTCTCCACAGCACTTATTTATCATCATCGACATACTTAGCTTATAAATCTTGTATGTTGGTTAACATTAGGCATCAACTTGATTGGATTGAGAGCTGCCTAGAGTATCGTTCCTGAGTGTGTTTGTGAGGGTGTTGCCAGAGGAGACTGACATTTGAGTTGGTGGACTGGGAAGGAAGACCCACCCTCAAGGTGGCTGGGCACCAGCCAGTCAGCTGCCAGAGCAGCTAGAACAAAGCAGGCTGAAGAAGGTGGGATAACCTTGCTAGCTGAGGCTTCTGGCTTAGAAGCCTTTTTTTTTCTTCTTCCCGTGCAGTAAGCTTGCTTCCGTTCCTCCTGCCTTTGGACATCAGACTCCAGGTTCTTCCGCCTTTGGACTCTAGGACTTGCAACAGCGGCTTCCCTGAGGCTGTCATGCCCTCAGCCTCATACTGAAGGTTGCACTGCTGGCTTCCCTGGTTTTGAGGCTTTTCGACTTGGACTGAGCCAAATGAATATATACATAATCCATGTTTAATTGTGGGACTTTGCCTTGTAATCGTGTGAGACAATTCTCTCTAATAAACTCCCTTTTACATATATGTGTATCCTATTGGTTCTGATCCTCTGGAGAACCCTAATACATCTTGTTTATTTTTTCTCCGCTGCCTTCTCCTCTTCTTCTAGATTTACCTAGACCACCACCATTCCTTCCCCCTTTCCTATTCTAAAGTAAAAGTTGTTTTTTCTCACTTAATGCATGGTATTCTGCCCATTTCCCATGGCTTCCCTCAGTCCTGCTCTGTTTATTTTTCTTGTTCTCTTAAGAGGAAATTCCTGCCTCTTCCTTCGCTTTTTCCAATTGGTCTATGTACTGGTTTCTGTTGTTCTCAGAGACACACTGAGACGTTTCACGTCTCACTGTCACTTCTTAGAAGGGCTCTCTCTACCTGGTCTGCCTGCTGAGCAACCTCTTGGGGAGACATGGGTACTCCTGAGTCATTGAACTTGAGCTGTTTGGTGTTGGCATGTTAATTTATCTTCTTACACCACTTCCCACTTCCTTAACGTCAAAAGACAAGAATAATTATTATTTTCCATGGTTGATGTGAAGAGTACAAATAACTTATACAAAATACATTGCAGTTAGGAGAGAATAAATGGCAGTGAATGCCCTTATTAATGTTATTCTATCAGTATCAGCTCAGATACCATCTGTTCTGTGTGCTCGACTCTGAATCATATCTAGTTCTTCCCTGGGTTCAATGTGCTCTTTTCTTAACTGCTTTGAAACAGTAATTATTCTGATTCTAATTAGTGATCCTTCTCAGTAAAATTTTACATTTTTAGATCTCTTTCTCCCACCCCTGCCCCAGCCTTAGCAGTATTTTCTTATTTCTTTTTTGTGGGTACAGGTTAAATCACTGGTCTTCTTTTACTTGTGGCTAAATAAATGTTTTGCTGGAAGAGTAAAGAGTTCCCAGTTCCATGAGATCTATAGTTCTACAAAATGAATATACACATAATCCATGTAAATATTTCACTTTTAAAACAATTTTTAAATATTTAGATAAAATTTAATTTGTGCATGTGTGTATGTGTGCGAGACCAGAGATGGCGTGGGGGGGGGGGTCTCACTATGTTGAGCAGGCTAGTCTTGAACTCCTGGCCTCAAGCCACCCTCTTGCCTTGGCCTTCCAAAGTGCTGGAATTGCAGGCGTGAACCATTGCACCCTAACTCACTTTTTGTTTTTGTCTCACGCATCCGTGTGAAGAGACCACCAAACAGGCTTTGTGTGAGCAACAAGGCTGTTTATTTCACCTGGGTGCAGGCGGGCTGAGTCCGAAAAGAGAGTCAGCAAAGGGTGGTGGATTATCATTAGTTCTTATAAGTTTTGGGATAGGTGGTGGAGTTAGGAGCAATGGTTTGCGGGCAGATCTCACAAAGTACATTGGTGGATCTCACAAAGTACATTCTCAAGGGTGGGGAGAATTACAAAGAACCTTCTTAAGGATGGGGGAGAGATTTGTAAAACGTAGATAGAAGACCTACTTTCCCATATTGCTTTCCCACATTACTTTCCCACATTGGTCTCAGATTTAAAATACATCAATTAGGATACAGCAAAATCTGTTTGATACTGAAAACTTTCCAGCAAGAATGATCCTTAGAACAAGTCATCTCTCATCTTTGCTCTTGCCTGTAACTACTAAGCGACTACTCCATCTTCTGCGCTTAGGGATTTTAAATTGTTGGCATTTTTGATTTAGCCGGGAATGCGTTGTATGGGGATATCAAATCTGCATGCTCCCCGAGCATTGACTGTAGTCTGATCATAGTAGGTCATGCACATATAATTTTACTATTTCTCAATTTATTTCAGTGCTGATGTAATTAGCAAAATACGATTTAAGAGTGTTATGATACTCTTTTAAATCGTGATGTCTTTTCTTCATCAAAGAGATACTTAAAAGCACATAATCATCTTGTGGAGGCAGGCTGACAAAATACTTTTTGAGATTCTAAAAGGAATCTTTGTACTTAAAATGTTTAAGGACCACTGATGTATTTTGGCTTCATGTATCAATCAGATTTAGATTTTATTTTATTGTTTTAGAGATGGGGGTCTCCCTTTGTCGCCCAGGCTGGAGTGGAGCTCACCGCAGCCTCAAACTCCTGGGCTCAAGCTGTCCCTCTGCCTCAGCCTCCTGAGTTGCTGGGACTACAAGGGTGTGCCACCATTTTTTGTAGAGATGTGATCTCGCTGTGTTTCCCAAACTGGTCTTGAACTCCTGGTTTCAAGTGATCCTCTTGCCTTGGCTTCTCAACGTGTTGAGATTACAGGCGTGAGCCACCACTCTTGGCCCCGATTTATTAATAGATTTTATAAGGACATTTTAGGCCTCACGCATCAGTTTCTTAGAACAAGCTTTTCTCTGCACTGCATACTAAATCAGACGGTAGTGCGACAAATAAACGGTGATGATTTCCCTAAGAACAAATCAAGTATAGAAAACTCCCTAATTGTCAGAACAGCAGGTAGTCTGGACGGATCTCTGAGGCTATCCTTAAACAGGTGCACTGAGACGCAATGTGCTGGAAACAAAAGAGCTCCTCCTTGCGCCCTCCCACCGCCCCACTCAATCCAGCTCCGCCCTGGCCACCCCGCGGCCCCGCCCCTATGCGCGCTGGTTGGTCCTCGCAGGCATGATGAAACTTCCCGCACGCATTACAGGAGCCAGGTCGGTATAAGCGCCCGGAGTCTCGCCGGCCAGCACGCTGTCCGCTGCCCGGCCCCCGCTCACCGTATCTGCTTGACTTGCTTACGCCCAGGTGAGCTGGACCCTTCGCTCCGCGCCGTGCGCCCAGCGCCAGCACCCTCCTCGTGTGCCCTGCGGCTGCTCCGGGAGGAGGGGGAGGAGGATGCGTCCTTAAGCCTGGCACCCGGCAGACGCAGTTCGGGGGCGCCTGCTGATGCTGCGGCTCCTGCGGTAGAGAGGGCGGGGCGGACGCCTAGCGATTGTTGCGCAACTGGCAGGTAGCGGAAGGACCTCTATGTCCTGGTCCCCTGAGGCATCAAGAGGGAACCAGGACCCGGAGGCCGGGCTGCTCCGGAGAGAAGGCAGCGGCGGTCTGAGCCCCTGTAAATGTTACATGTGTACTTTTTTTACTATGTGGCGTCGAAGCCTGTGGACATTTTCGCAGTCCAGGCCCCTGCGGCGGACTGGTCGGAGCGTGCTGGTGGCCAGGGCGCAGTCAGGTGTCGCGTGGTCCTGATCTAGGAAGAAGAGACTCTGGCTTTATTACTGCCTCGGTGTCTGTGCTTTCCCCTTCAACTGCCCTCGTCCTCACCTGGACCCCTCACCTTCCTCCTCCCCTCTCACCCCGCCACCCCTGCCAGTCCCCACCCCTCTCTGTAGACTGCAAGACTTAACAAGTGACTTGCTGAGCAAACCCTGCCGAGAAGAGGTCTGTTTAGGGACACAGGCGGCCAAGTACAGAAAAAGGTAGAAGAACTAGCGTGCCTTTTTCAGTGGATGTCATTTTACAGGGCTGGCTTCAGATGATTGTTGTAGCTTTAAATAAAAGGACAGTTTTCTTCTCGGCCGTTGGCCTACATTATTTCTTTACTGTCCATTGCCCTGGGCGCTTGACTAGTAATTTAACAGCAGTTTTTTTTTTTTTTTAATTTTAAATCATGATTCATAGCATTGCTGTAAGAGTAATTAGAGGTAAAATAGGGCTTGAACTTGTCTGTAGTTGGTTACTTACTGACATCTTAACATAAAAGTAAGGTGAGAGGGTGAAGTTTTAAGTAACATAAAGTGGAATAGAAATTAAATGCCCTGAAACTGCCATGTCCGGTTCGGTAGGCGCTAGCTACCTGTAGCTGTTGAGCACTTGAAATGCTAACTAGTCCTAATTGAGGTGTGTTGTGTTAAATACACTGGATTTTGTCGTTGGAGTAGGAAGAACAGTGTAAAATATCTGCTTGATAATTTTTTATATTGATTACATACATGTTAAAATGATACTATTTGGGACATATTGAGTTAAGTATATTTAAAATTAATTTCACCTTTTTCTTTTAATGGGGCTACTAGTATATTTAACATTACATACGTGGCTCACATATTTATTGGACAGCACTGCTCTAGAAGTTTAAGAAGAAATAAAAATATTGAGAACAGGTTGCGGTAGTAGGAACTTTGCCCTTCTATAAGACTGATTCCAATAAAAATAATAAGTTATAGTTTTAATTGGACTTTTCCTACTAGAAAAAATAAGTGTACTTTACATGCCCCTTTGTTCTCCCTCTTTCCCCTCCAGTTTAGAGGTTAGCGTGTATTTATTATAGCAGGATTAATACAGGGATTCACTAAGCGGCGTTAAGAAAACTTAGGTAAATGATTCCCTGATGACCACACTTGATTTTCAAAGCACTTTCCTAACCCATTTTTAACTGGTATAGAGTCAAAGGCAGATGGCTTATTAGTAGTCATCTCATTTAAATCTTATGGAATTTTTCCAGTAAATCTCAAATAATTTGTTGTAGGCTATTTGGGCTATTTGGTCAAGTGCATGGAAGGGACAGCATAGGACATGTGGTACTTCATTTCCAAATTGCTTGAGATGATTTTCATTATAACCATATATTATTTGGTTCTGGTTTTCTGGAAAACCAGCTAAACCTTTGGTGCTTTTAGATATAAATGAAATATCACCAAAGGATTGCTCAAAGTGACTTACGCAACTTGAATATATATTTTTTCCTTAGGGTGTTTATCCCAAATTATCTGGGCATTTGCTGCAATTTGCAGTTTTTTTTAAAAAAACACCAAAATAGTTATTTTTTCAAGTTAGAGATGTTTTAATAAAAACAGTCATTTTGAGCTGGCAGCAGCCAAATAAAACAGCGCTTTATTTCACAGTTGAGAATTTGAAATTGGAAAGTAATTAACATACGTGAGGATGACTTACTTGCTTCCTGGCTTACAGGGATGAGCCAAGTTTTTATTAGGGATGTTGTTGCTGTGTATGTCCCACCTAATTTGCTTCCTTACTGAACAATGCAACTTTGAGACAGAAATATTTGAGAACATTTTTGTCACTTGGGACATTTTGATAGTGAACATTTTGTATCTTCTATTAACTTAAAATGTTTTATTTGTTATAAAGCCAGGATATCTGATATCAAATTAAATTGTTTTCTTTTCCCTTTAGATTTTCTTCAATCACATCTGAATAAATCACTTAGAGGTAACCTAGATGTAATATGGTGAAATGCTTAAAAGAGCTGTGCATCTTAGTATTACACTTACAGCAGTATGATTTTCTGTTGTATACATTATATTGTACCTGCAGCTAGTTCAGATAAAGAGAGGGCATTTAACTGTCAAGACAACCTGAGAGGAGACTCTAGTAATCTGGAAAGTCTCTTGGATCTTTGAGGGATCCCTGGCTAGGCTGGAGCCAGCCTGGATTTGTATCTATATCTTGGAAGCAAACTTAGAATGCAGAGACAGATGTGGCCTAGATGCTGCCAGCTCTAGCCAACCACTAAATCCTAAGGTGGGAGAGATGCAGGCTTTGACTAGGTGCTAAGCTGCTGTAGCCCATTAAATGTAGAGGTCACTATATTTTCTGAATACCTGTAAGTAAATTAAATCATTCTCTACTCCCGTGTGCCTGCCAACCTAATGGGGAATCGCTATAGAAAAGATGGTTTAAATTTTAGTCTTTGAAGTGGTTTATGCATGTTTCTGGAATCAAGATTTAATGCAGACTGGGATTGGATATTGAATATTTTTGATTTATCTGCTTTTATCTCCATAGAGAGCTTATAGCTTCATTGTACCATGTGTGGCATTTGGGCCCTGTTTGGCAGTGACGACTGCCTTTCTGTTCAGTGTCTGAGTGCTATGAAGATTGCACACAGAGGGCCAGATGCATTCCGTTTTGAGAATGTCAATGGATACACCAACTGCTGCTTTGGATTTCACCGATTGGCAGTAGTTGATCCACTGTTTGGAATGCAGCCAATTCGAGTGAAGAAATATCCGTATTTGTGGCTCTGTTACAATGGTGAAATCTACAACTATAAGAAGGTAAGGAGAAAGAAACCAGATGTCTGGATGCGATTAAACTTAAGAGTTTGTTGGTCACGATGATATTACATATTCTGTATCATGCTTTTTACTTTGCAAGGCACTCTATGTTCATTATCTCATTTGCTCTAAGTATGTAAATAGGGAACTGATGAATAAAAAGGTGAGTGAAATGACATGGTCACAAAAGAAGTGATAAAAATGAGAATTACAGTTCAGTTTCTTTGACTCTTAGAATTTTTTTCTCCTTCTCCCCAGCTTTTCATTTTGAAAAAATTTCTAACATATAGAAAAGAACAGAACAGCGAGCACCTAGATTGAATAGTCATTAATGTTTTGCCATATTTGCTTGAGTTTTCTTTTACAGACACACACACACAAACACACACACACACACATATTTTTGCTGAATCATTTGAGAGTACAGTACAGATATTATGACACTCCTAAATATATAAGCATTTATCTTCTAAGAATAAGGACATTCTTCTACATAACATCAATGCCATTATTAAACCTAAGAGTCCATAATACCACCTAATATCCAGTTTATTCTTAAATGAAATTTCCGTAAGTGTCCCAAGAATTTTTTTTTTTTTTTTTGAGACAGAGTCTCATTCTGTCACCCAGGCTGGAGTGCAGTGGCACGATCTCAGCTCACTGCAACCTCTGCCTCCCAGGTTCAAGCAATTCTCCTCCCTCAGCCTCCCAAGTAGCTGGGACTACAGACACCTGCCACCATGCCCAGCTAATTTTTTGTATTTTAGTAAAGACAGGGTTTCACCATGTTGCCCAGGGTGGTCTGGAACTCCTGAGCTCAGGCAATCTGCCCACCTTGGCCACTCAGAGTGTTACCAAGAATATCTTTATAGCTGGTTTTTGTTTGTTTTGAGCTAGATTTCATTCAAGGTTCATGCATTTGGTTGTGATGTTTCTTGGTGTTTTTTGAGACTTCTTGATAGATACCCTGTCATGCATTGATAGAGATTTATATCCTAATCACATTTTGGACATTTTTATCTCTGAACAAAAGCTTTTGTCATTGTTTGTTGCCTGCTCATAGGAACACTCTTAATAACAGTCTTCTCATTTAAAAAGTTTTAAAATAGTTATTCAGGAGATTCCTTTTACATATTTCTTTATTCCTTTATTAAAGGACCTACTATGCACCAGACATCATTTTTCTAGGTGATTGGAGATGAAATGGTGAAAAGGAAAGGCAAGAATGGACTTTCCTGCTAGTGGGAGGTGGAAGAAGAGAGTATTACAACTTTTTTCTTTCTGAGTCAAATCAGTGTCACATACGTGAGAATGAATGCTAGGTGGTGCTATGGCATTGTCAGCTTGGCTTTCCCCTTAAATGAAATAGGAAACGCCCTGCTTCACTTGAACAGTGTTGTTTCTTTTCATTAAAAAGTTACAAGAAGTTAAATATTTTGAAAATAATTAATTTCTATTCTGAATTAGCCAAATGTTTCATTTGTAAAAGTAGAGAAGTTTGTTCCATAAGCATCGAAGCTTATGTAGTTGGGGCAGCTAGCAAACTGTCTAATGAACAGAATGTGTATTTTAGGCTTATGTAAAGTATTCAAAAATCCGCCCCCCCCCCCCCACACCTCCTTTTTGGTAAAAATAAAGTTTACCACTACAATGAAATACAGTCAGAGGTGTGCTGGGAGTAGAGGGAGACTGAATGAAAAACAGGAGAAATGGGGTCAAGGCTAGAGCAAAGAGCAGGCCCTCTCCCTGCAGGGGAGTATCAGGGGCCTGCAGCCAAGTCAGATGACAGCATGACTTCAGGAGGTAAGATTTGAGGGCTTTTATCTAAGATGCAGCATTGGAGTTTGGTTTCAGGGGAGTAGGAAGTGATACATCCATTACCCAAAGGACCCTTCTCCCTTTTAAATAAATTACCTGCAAAGTTTAGGCCAAAGAGGTGGGCAAGGTAGATTTTGGAAGCTGTTGCTTGCTAATATCAGTGAATGCTTTATAGTCACTAACCCTTCAGGCAGTTCAGCCCAGAACAGTCAGCAGAAGACTGTTTCCAGACCCCACCTGCTAGTTACAGATCATCCCTGATAGAGCAGAGAGGGGTGACCAGGTAGTGACTTTACAGTCACTGGAGGCAAAGCCCATTTTTGGACAGTTTGGTGGGGGCTTATAGACAAAAGATTCACAAATGATGGAGTGAGCTGGATGGAGTGTGAAGCATATTTATGGGTCATGCACATACATAATAGGTTTACTTTTTGAAATTTGAAAGCATGTTTTAAGCTTATCTAGGATTTCCACCTGATTTAAACCTCTTCTTTCTCTAATGTCAGCCAAAAACCTGAGTACAAGGTTCAAAAAGGAATACATCCAGGACTTTTCATCCTCATAGTTTGCCAGTGATGGTGGAGAGTGTCAGAATTGGGGAGTAGCCTAATCAAACCTTCCTATTCTGCATGCAGTGGCAGACAGTCCCTTTGCTGTTCCTTTGGGGCATGCAGACTAATAAAGCGCCACCATCATTTTGTCTATAAGTAAGGAGTAGCTTTAATGCTACTGCAGTGGTGGAAGCCCTGGGCATTGTCGTCCACCCCTGGGGACCAGCAGCTTTGTTTTGGATCATGTATCTGTTATTGTGATGTAGCCATTTATTTTTCATGGAATGGTGCCAAATGATGTTTGTCCCTTTGCTTTACATTTTTATAGCTAGGACTTTGAAGCTGAACTGGAGGAACTTCTTAGCCAATACTATCTTCTCAAACCAAAAATTTTTAGGTGCAGAAGACGCGTTTTTTAGTGTCATGGCAACCAGGCAACCTGTTATCTTAACTTACATTTAGAGGTTGAGCATCCCTAATCTGAAAATCTGAAATTTGAAATGCTCCAAAATCTGAAACTTTTTGAGCACTGACATGATACTACTGTGCATTTTGATGTCACAGTCAAAATGCAGGTGTAAAACACAGTTTATTTGGCGTGCCCTAGGGAAAAAAGATCCTCTCAGCCCCCTTCAGCTGCAGTATAACTTTTCTACACATGCCCAGATTTCCCCGTGCAAGCATGCCCACAAAGGGTAATAGAATGGCACATGTGCAAGCTGGACACGCCAATGGCAGGATCCAGGATCCCCACAGATGGGACCTCTGCGCATTACCCATTGTATATTTTTGCTTATTTTCTGCTCTGTGGTGTTAAGATACTGAAAATGTCAAAAAGACCTGTAGATATTTCTTTGAGCAGCAATGATAAGGAAAAGTAGAAACATAACACAGAAAGTCAAGCTATAGGAGAAATTGGACTGTAGTGTAAAGGTTTAGATTACATGATGAAAATGTGTGATAGAGATACTGAAAGACTAGAGCTACCTGCATTCATAACAGAACAAGAGGTCATATCAGTCTATAAAATCAAAGAGAGACTTCCAAGACAGAAGCCGTTGTTAATGAGGCAGATGACTCTGGAGAAACACTTACAAAAGTCATTTGGCCAAGTGCCTCCTCAACCTCAGAGGACCCGCTTCCTAGTTGCTCAGCTGCTTCTGATATTTCTTCTCACCTAAAAAAGGAAAAAAAAAGATACAGTGTACAGTAACCTTTTAATCAAAACACAGCATTGTCGGTGGAGTCTGAAAGCCTGCCATTGTTTGTACAGCTGTTTAACTGCTGATACAGGTATTCTGGTGATACTACTATGCTACTTATTATTTTCTTACTGTATTAATGGTAGGTCATATTTTTTACTTACGTATGAATAAGTGTATAAAAATGATTGTTCTTTAGTAGCATATAAATTCAGTCAGGAATGATGGTCAATGATGGCAAACAGCCACAGATTTTCCACATGGTAGCTGAGATAGTGATACCTTTGCTTTCTGATGGTTCCATGTACACAAACTTTGTTTCATGCACAGAATTATTTGAAATATTATATAAAATTACCTGTAGGCTATGTGTATAAGATATATGAAACATAAATGAATTTCATGTTTAGACTTGGGTCTCATCCCCAAGATATCTCACATATATGCAAATATTCCAAAATCCAAAACACAACACTTCTGGTTCCAAACATTTCAGATAAGGGAGACTCAATCTGAATATATATGTATTACATACATAGTATGTATACAATATGCATTTTCATCCCTCCACAGGTTACTATTCTGGCACATTCCCATTATATTCTGTTTCTCAGACTGCAACTAAAATTTTCATGGGTTCAGCTTTATGTTGAACAGAATTTGCAGATTATGAGTTGAAGCAAACCCTAGTTTGATAATGCTGTGATTCTCCTAAATCACCAAAGTGCATGAAAGGATTATAGAGCTCAGAAATACTGAAGCAACTTGGCAATAAGAAATTATTAGTGAATGTACAAGGAATCTAACATTTTGGTTTTGCTATTGCTTCATAAGATGCAACGCCATTTTGAATTTGAATACCAGACCAACGTGGATGGTGAGATAATCCTTCATCTTTATGACAAAGGAGGAATTGAGCAAACAATTTGTATGTTGGATGGTGTGTTTGCATTTGTTTTACTGGATACTGCCAATAAGAAAGTGTTCCTGGGCAGAGATACATATGGAGTCAGACCTTTGTTTAAAGCAATGACAGAAGATGGATTTTTGGCTGTATGTTCAGAAGCTAAAGGTAATAATAAATTTTTCTATAGACGTTCATTATTGTCTTGGTTGTATGTTTGCTTTAAAATTATATTTGAAAATCTCTTAGAGAGCAATCCAGAATTTTACAAGTGACTAATTAAGTTATGAGTCTTTAACCTTTTTTAAAAAAAAACAGAGGAGTTGTACTCTCCTTTTCAGCACTTAAATTCTGTAATACTTGAAGGATGATTCTTTAGTGCAGTCATTTATTTTTTGCTATGCTAATATGCTCTACGTCTAGCTTGATCCTAAGTGCAGTTTTAAGTTTTCCTGTGTCATACTATAATGGTAGGGTTGACTCTGCGATTATTGCACTGTGGTACTTTGCTGCAGTTGTAGCACAGCAAATATTAGGATTTCTAAAACAGCTTTATTGATAATTCACATACCATGTAATTCACCCACTTGAAGTATACAGTTTGGTGGTTTTTAGTGTATTCACAGATGTTGGTAACCGACACTCCAGTCAGTTTTAGAATTGTTTTTCCACCTCAAAAAAAAAAAAAAAAAAAAAAAAATCAAATCCTATGCCCTTTAGCTTAGTTTTTGCTGGCAGGATCAACTAGGTTTTTTGGTTTTGTTTTTGTTTTTAGAGATGGGGTCTTGCTCAGTCGCCCAGCCCAGGCTGGAGTGCAGTGGTCTGAACATAGCTTAGTGCAGCCTTGAACTCCTGGGCTCAAGCGATTCTCCCACCTCAGCCTCCCTAGTAGCTAGGAGTATAGGCATGCACCACAACACCCTGCCTCCTGTGCCCTTTAGCTTTGAATTCCATCTCTCCATATCCATTATCTGCACCCCCGCAGTTGTAGCCCCGGCAATCACCAATCTTTCTGCCTCTGGATTCCGTATTCCGTATGTTTCATATGAATGGGATTATATATCATATGGGCTGTTGTGACTGGATTCTTTCACTTGGCATAGTGCTTTCAAGATTTGTCTATGCTGTAACATGTATCAGTACTTACTTTTTATGGCCAAATGATACTCCATTACATGGATACACTGCATTTTGTTTATCCACTTGTCAGTTGATGGACATTTAGGACATTGTTTACCCCTCTTGGCTATTACGAATAATGCTGCTGTAAACATTGGTATACAAGATTTTGTGTAGACATTTCTCTTGGGTGTATACCTAGGAGTAGAATTGCTGGCACACATGATAACTATGTTCAGTTGAAAAACTACCAGATGATTTTCCGAAATGGCTGCATTATTTTTTATTCCCTCCAGCAGTGTGTTAAAATTTCAGTTTCTCCACATCTTCACAAACACTTACTGTGTGACTTTTTAATTCTAGCCATCCTAGGGTATGTAAAGTGGTATTTCATTGTGATTTTGATTTGTATTTTCCTGTTGACCGTGATGTCCAGCATCTTATCTTATGCTTATTGGCCATTTGTGTATCTTCTTTGGAGAAATATTTGTTCAAATCCTTTGCCACTTTTTTTCCTGCTAGGGATCATTTTATTTGAAAAACGTAATAGACTTTTTTTTTTTTTGAGCAGTTTTATAAAAAATTGAGAGGAAAATGCAGAGAGTTCACATATGCTCCCCCTCCAGTGCCACCGCCCAGTTGTCCCAACTCTTAACATCTTGCGTTACTGTGCTACATTTATTAGATTTGATGAACTGATACTTATATATTAACTGAAGTTCATAGTTTATGTAAGGGTTCACTCTTTGTGTTTTATAGATTTTTGGATTTGACAAATGTTTAATGCCATGTACCCACCATTACAGTATTATGTAGAACAGTTTCATTGCCCTAAAAAATCTCCTGTGCTCCACTTATTGATTCCTTCCTGTCCTCTTCCTCCTAAACCCCGCCCCAGTCATTACTGATCTTTTTACTTTCTCTTTCACTTTGCCTTTCCCAGAATGTCATATAATAGTTGTAATCATATAGTATGTAGCCTTTTCAGACTGGCTTCTTTCACCTAGCAGTATACATGTAGGGTTCTTCCGTGTTTTTTCATGGCTTGATAGCTCATTTTTTAAATTGCTGAATAATATTCCATTTGTTTGCATGCACTGCAGTTTGTTTATCCGTTCTTGAATTATACATCTCTAATTGGGTTACTTTGTCTTTTTGTTACTGAATTGTAATAGTTTCTTATGTATTCTAGGTAGAAATCCCTTCTGTTCATCAGGGTTGCAGGATACAAGATCAATATACAAAAATCAATGGTGTTTGACACACTTTAACTGAATACTACATACTTAAAATGAGCAATCTGAAAATGAAATTAAGAAAGCAACTTCATTTATAATAGCATCAAAAAGAATAAAATACTTAGAAATAAATTTAAGAAGTGGAAAACTTGTATACTGAAAACTATAAAACATTGTTGAAAGAAATGAGAGAAGATCTAAATAAATGGAAAAGTATCCCATGATCATGAATCGAAGGCTTAACATTATTAAGATGGCGGTCCTCCCGAAACTGATTTACAGATTCAACTTGATCCCTATCAGAATCCCAGATGAGTTCTTTGTAAAATCTACAAGCTGGCTCTGAAATTCATATGGAATTGCAAGGGACTAAGAATAGCCAAAACAATCCTTTGAAAATGAGGAACAAAGTAGGAGAACTCATACTTACTGATTTTAAAACTTACTACAAGACAATGGTAATAAGGACAGTATAATACTGGCAGAAGGATAGATGTATAGACGAGTGGGATAGAATTGAGAGTCAGAAATGAACACATACATATATAATCAACTTATTTTTGACAAGGGTGCCAAGAGTATTCAGTGGGGAAAGAAGTTCGAAAACTGGCACAGTGGCAACCAGATATGTAAACATATGCAAAACCTGGAGTTGAACTTTTACCCAACATCATATACAAAAACTATGGATACAAAAAAATACATCAAATGAATCCATTTTGAACTAATCCACATAAATGTAAGGGCTAAAACTATAAAATCCTGAGAAGCAAACATAGAAGTAAGTTGTCATGACCCTGGATTTGGCAAATCTTTCTTAAATATGAGACCAGAAACAACAATACAAATTGATGAATTGGACTTCATCAAAATTAAACAGTTTTGCACGTCTAAAGGACACCATCAAGAAATGAAAAGACAGCCCACAAGTTGGAAGAAAATACTTGCAAATCATGTATAGCACTTTTTGATGGTAAACTTGAGGAAGACATTTATTTTTTATCCCTTACCTACACAGTAGTAACATCCTAAAATCTCTCTCCCTGCCTCTTTTTGCCATTCTTTAAATCCTTTGTTACTTAATTTTCAGATTTAATATTGGCCAAAGCAGGGATAATGAGATCAGTCAAAGGGGTACTTAGGACGCTAGTCACAGTGTTTGTACTGATACCGCAACTGGCTTATTTTCAGGCATTTCTAGTGTGATCAGATGGCAAAGAGCAAGTATATATATGTATGTCAGTTGCCAGGACTTCTGGGCAAGCCTGGTAAAGAGAACAGCGGGGAAAAGCAGCCTCCTACTCCCCTGGGCCTTCTTTGAGCCTGATGATCACTTGATATGGAACTAGGATCACATCCAGTTTACCCTCTGAAATTCCTTGATTGTTGTATTCTGTATCCTTGACACTGTCCTTTTCCAGACCAAATTATCTCATCTGGAATACTGCAATAGTTTTCCTTTCTGAATGCTTTTAGAATAACCTGTCGAAAACTCATCTGATTATAGTGCTGCCTGCTTAAAACCTTTTAATTACTCCTCATTCCCTGTCTGGGCTGCGTAGCTCACTTGAGCTCTGCTAGCTGGTGAGGGAATCTGGGTCCTTTTTCTGGTATTTGAATTCAGTGCTACACAGGTTACTGGCTGGGTAGACAGTCTCAAATTGTAAATCATGGGTATTCCATGTAGATAGTCTGTTACAATGTACAATAAAACATTAATGTTTGTGTCAAAGATCATGGTGTTGTGAGGTTGGGTACTGTCTGTGAGAATTTATTGAGGAAATTTAAGTTATATGGTTTTATTCACATATAGTGTATAACAACTAGTTAAGGGATAGATGTCTCCTTATCTGACTTCAAAGTAGCTAAGAGTGGATCATTGTACTTGTTAAAGGTCTGGGAACCATGGCTATTTTCTTTTTCTTTTTTTGAGATGGAGTCTCGCTCTGTCGCCCAGGCTGGAGTGCAGTGGCCAGATCTCAGCTCACTGCAAGCTCCGCCTCCCAGGTTCACGCCATTCTCCTGCCTCAGCCTCACAAGTAGCTGGGACTACAGGCGCCCGCCACCTCACCCGGCTAGTTTTTTGTATTTTTTAGTAGAGATGGGGTTTCACCGTGTTAGCCAGGATGGTCTCGATCTCCTGACCTCGTGGTCCACCCGTCTCGGCCTCCCAAAGTGCTGGGATTACAGGCTTGAGCCACCGCGCCCGGCCGGCTATTTTCTGAAAATAACTCAGTGATGACAAATGACTACCAGACTATCATAACATTAGGACTCCAGTTCATCCCTTTGCTTCATAAGTATGTCTTTTCCTTTTGTATATATTTGCTTTGGTATAGAAAATAGATTTTCTTGATTAGAAATCTAAGAAGAAGAAATTGAACACTGGAGGTTTTTCTATTTCTTTGAATTACTAAAAGTTAGTGTAATTTGGCAGTATATCCCTATGCCATTATGATCTCTCCAGTAAGTAGACGGTAGGGCTTAGGAAAATAGGAATTTATTTTTCCTATTTTGCTTGTTTAATGGCCATGTGTTTGTATTAAAAAGGGAAAATAAATAGGAATGTAGAGGATGTTAACTAATCGTGACAGTGGGAAGAGTTACCTAATTTGAATAAAGGTATCTTTTTGAATTTGTAGGTCTTGTTACATTGAAACACTCCACGACTCCCTTTTTAAAAGTGGAGCCTTTTCTTCCTGGGCACTATGAAGTTTTGGATTTAAAGCCAAATGGCAAAGTTGCATCTGTGGAAATGGTTAAATATCATCACTGTCGGGATGAACCCCTGCATGCCCTCTATGACAATGTGGACAAACTCTTTCCAGGTAGCAGACACCCATCCACCTATTCCCCATCCTTCTCCAAGGGAAAAAAAATTATAAGTTGTACTCTCCCATCATTTGAATGATTTTAGTTTCAAAACCTATTTCCTATTTTGTTTGGAGGGAACACATTACGATTTGGCACACTCCACCATTGAGTAAATACCATCATGATAGATGTTGATGATAGTGTATTTCGTTTCAATAACTGATCCAGCCCAAGATTTTCTGGAGCTGTTTGGTTTACTTGCTGTGTTTATAGGTTTTGAGATAGAAACTGTGAAGAACAACCTCAGGATCCTTTTTAATAATGCTGTAAAGAAACGTTTGATGACAGACAGAAGGATTGGCTGCCTTTTATCAGGTGAAATCAATTAAAAAACCTAATTATATTTCGTGTGTGTTTAATTGAAATGATTTGTAGTCATCCCTTTTATTTTTACTATAAAATATTTTCTGTATGATTTAATCTTTCCTTCATTATCGGATGGAAACATTTTTTTATAAGCTGCATTTAATAGTCATAGTCATACTCTAACTTGAGTTACAGTGTAGCTATGTTATTGGTGTTAAGAGTGAGCCAGTGGATGCTTGGAATTCTGTGTAGTGATTTTTAACCAATTCAAATACTACTATTATCACAGTTTGTATATTTTTCTCTTACTGAAGTTGATTTCAGCTTATAAAACATGCGGGTTTTAAATGGTAAAACTATTATCTTGGTGTTTATCAGGAATATACATCTTCTGTCCCTGTCTTATGCAAGGCACATAACTAGGACACTTCCACTTCCTCTTTTGCATGTAGGGGGCTTGGACTCCAGCTTGGTTGCTGCCACCCTGTTGAAGCAGCTGAAAGAGGCCCAAGTACAGTATACTCTCCAGACATTTGCAATTGGCATGGAAGACAGCCCCGATTTACTGGCTGCTAGAAAGGTAAGGTGCTGTCTCTGTCCCTTGTGTAGTTAGAGTAGACTTATTATTAGAATGGAAATGGAGTCAATAATGGATGATTCTACTTCTGCTGCTGTATTGACTGGGACAATTGTTTTAAATTAAATGTATTAAAATAGAATGAAATGGCTGTTGAATATGCACTGTGTTGTACACTGTCCTCTGTGTACTTTTATCTGTTATGACCCATACAATTCTCACAAAGACCCTATGATGATAATTATGCTCTTTTGAAAGTAAAGGTATCTGGGCATGGTGGCCTACACCTGTAATCCCAGCACTTTATGAGGCTGAGGGAGGTAGATTACTTGAGGTCAGGAGTTTGAAACCAGCCTGAGCAACATAATGAAACTCCATCTCTACAAAAAATGCAAAAATAGCCAAGCTTGGTGGCGCCTGCCTGTAGTCTTAGCCTCTTGGGTGATAGAGCCTGGGTGATAGAGCAAGACCTTGTCTCAAAAAAAAAAAAAAAAAAGAAAGAAAGAAAGTAAAGGCATAAGTCAGGTGCAGTGGCACACACCTGTAGTCCCAGATACTTGGGAGGCAGTGGTGGGATGTCTGAGCTCAGGAGTTCAAATCCAGGCTGGGCAACATAGCAAGACGCCATCTTGAAAAATTTAAAAAAAAGGTTTTTTGTTTGTTCGTTTGTTTTTTTAAAAAGAATGTAAAGGCATGGTATCGTGGCTAACACTGCAGGTTTTGGAACCTGACTTGTGATTTGAAATCCTGGCTCTACTCATTGATGTAACAAAAATAATAGTGTCTGCTATGGGGAAATTTTAAGGTGAAATGATATAATTCATGTAAAGTAAGTAGGATAGAACTTAGCATGTAGTAAGTACTTAATGAGTGTTAGCTGTTATTATTATTTTAAAAAGTACTGTATTTAGAATACTGTGGGAAGAGGGCAGCTTGTCTGTATTCAGTGGGTGGGAGACCTAGTTCCCACTATGGAGAACTTTCATAGCATGGATGAGAAAAAGCTAGAGAGCAGTCTCAATGCAAAGTGATCAATGCCGAGAGAATCAAAATAGCCAAGGAAAGTAGAATGAGGGGTGGGGCCATTCTATATAAGAATAACATCCTGGATGTAAAATTAGGCATTTCAGAAGGACCAAAAAAGACCAAGCTTAGTGGGACCATGTTGGGCTAGAGAGAGATGAGGTGGGTTAGGTAAAATAGGGAGCGAGGTGCCAACTGGGAGAATGGCTGAAGCCTTGGCACCAGAGGAGCTGAGGGGAGACGAACTTCCTGGTGGTGGAGTTGAAGCAGGCGAAGAAACAGTGCTGGATGGGGCTTTTATGTGGTGGGCTGTAAAACCATTTTTCTTTTTTTCCCACCATTGTTAATTCATAAAGCTTTGTGAACTCCCGTCCTGTTTGATTTTCAAGGGAAGTTATTTTCTTTAACAAATAAATGGGTATTTCTTTATATAATAAGGTGGCAAATCATATCGGAAGTGAACATTATGAAGTCCTTTTTAACTCTGAGGAAGGCATTCAGGCTCTGGATGAAGTCATATTTTCCTTGGAAACTTACGACATTACAACAGTTCGTGCTTCAGTAGGTAAGGTATTATAATATTATTAAATAAAAAGCTTTTTCTAATACTGAAAAAAAGTAAGGTTTAAAAAATTTATTTCAAGCTGTAGTTTAAAAATGTTATTTAAGGATGAATACAAATTAAATCCCTATGTTACTGATTATTTAAGACCACTTAAGAATTCTCTGAATCTCTTTTGGAGTGAAGGGAACAATAAATACATAGTTCAACCTCCACATTGTTGGTATCACTGCTGGTGTTTCCCCAGGGAGCAGATATATATTTTCTGCCCTCTGCCTCCCATTTCTCTTAGAGTTTCTCAGGCTACAGTCTGTATACAGTGAGGCAATAGGTCTATTTGGTAATGCATTTTTGATAAGAAATACTCATTTTACATATATTTTGGTAAATATTCCATCATACAACTTACCAGTCACTAGCTATCATTGCTCTGCAAACAATATTAATTTTATTTTGTAGATAATGTATCTACTGAGATAGGAAGTATACCCCAAATTAGACTGATACAATGTTAATGAACCTTTGTATGCTACTGCCTCCCTTGAGAGACTTGCCTTGGAGGGCAAAAATATCTTCGGTATGACGATGGTTTATGGCCCTTCAAAACATCACAATAAATAAGCAGATAGACAGGATAGCTCTGGTATTGGAATTTCATGGGGCTGGGGTGGGGTTAGGAAAATAAGTGTCTATCACCTCAGCTCTCTAGCTGAGGTGATAATAAAAACAAGGCTGAGAAGAAACACTGGTTTAGAGGGATGCGGTACAGGACCAAGGAGGCAAGTTTAATAACTTATATAGTCTCCCTAGCTTTATGTGAAATCTGGTAAATGGGGAGTGGCAGGGGGAAAGTACCTAACAAAATTAACACTAAACCACCAAAATGGCTATTCTTATTTTTGTGTCATAATACCACTATGAAAGGCACGATTTTTAGGTATTTGAGTCATTGTTCAGCTTAGCATAGTTTTGAGGTGAACATTCTTGGTCTAAAAACATTAGAATTTTAAAACCTGTTTTTATAAAATGACAGAATGGTTCTGGGTTATTTTATTTTACAGTAGTGCTTTTGGATTAAGTACATATAAATGGCTTGTAAATACAAGGTCATTATTGTGGAAACTACTGTATACTAATATGAAGTCCAGTATGGTAGTAACGCTTTCAGTTATTTCCAAAAATCAAATCAAAGGCATTTTTGGTGGAAGGTTATGTTGACATTAAAGTTAATTTCTCTCTCTCATTTAAGGTATGTATTTAATTTCCAAGTATATTCGGAAGAACACAGATAACGTGGTGATCTTCTCTGGAGAAGGATCAGATGAACTTACGCAGGGTTACATATATTTTCACAAGGTAACCACTCTGAAGTGGAGGAATATTCGTGCTATATTAAGAAAACTATGAAATGTTTGACTATTTCTATCATCTTTCAGTATGACAGTAATAGCTTTGAGTATCTCGTGAGGTTACAAAAGGGAACCTGATAATGTTTGCTTTCTATCTCTTGAGGAGGAAAGAAATTTTAATGTGTAAGATGATTTTTATTCTTTAAAACTAGTTACAGCTGGGTATGATGGCTCATGCTTATACCCCCAAGCTACTAAGGAGGCTGAGGTGGGAGGATCACCTGAACCCAGGAGATTGAGGCTGCAGTGAGCTGTGATTGCGCCACTGCACTCCTGCCCGGTTGACAGAGCAAGATCCTGTCTCTTAAAAAAAAAAAAAAAAAAAAGCTAAAAATAAATAAATAAAACTAGTTAAGCTTGAGAATCACCTTTCTGCCATTTCTTAGCATCCTGTGGAATTATGACTGTTGCCCAGTGTGTTCATTTTATTCTAATATTAGCAGTTTGGTAGGAAGGAAGGCATGTTTTGTAAAGCACTGCTTACCTCTGTTCAGTTATTTACTCCCTTCCCTAAATTTGTTTAACTTTTTGTCTTATCCAACTTTAGGATTGGAGAGGGAGAAAGAAAAACTGCTTTGTGTGCCAAAAGCAAAACTCTTGGTGTTTTTGTTTGTGAAATAGGCTCCTTCTCCTGAAGAAGCCGAGGAGGAGAGTGAGAGGCTTCTGAGGGAACTCTATTTGTTTGATGTCCTCCGCGCAGATCGAACTACTGCTGCCCACGGGTAATACTTTTAGAGGCTACTGTAAAACAAAAACAAAAAAACACCAAAAAAAAGGAAAACCAAACCAAAACAAAAAAAAGCTCAATACCCTGAAAAAATAAAAATCAATAGCTGGTTGGCTATATGTTGCATATAGTTGGCTATATGTTACAAAGTGTAACTTCTATAGAGAAAATGAAGCTGTTTCTTCACTTTGTCCCAAAAGAATTAGGCCACATTTCAAAGTGGTGTTGTGGTATATGGAGAGAAGTCGTCTTCCATAGGTTGTTTGAGTTGGAGTTTTCACCTTTAAAAGGTAAGAACATTCTGCTCACATCTGAACAACCAAGATGGAAGAGGGAAGGCTGCTGCAGCAGCTACTGTTAAGTGTTTTAAAGAGAAGTAAAGATTGTTAACATCATGTGACAAGTACTGAGTGCCCACCATGCCTATTTGGTGCTGTAGTGACCCTGAGGGGATAGGGTAGTGAAGATGCAAGGGGTTTGATTACATTATAACGAGCCAGGTTTCTTTGGTATCATTTCTGGTTGTCTAGAGTTATGTTGAAGAACTGAAGACTTTTACTGTACAGGATAAACAACTGTCATTAAATGTTTTAGTTGCCTCTGCTGAATCACACCTAGATCAGGATATAATTAAACATGGGTTTAGGGAATGAACTGAATCTGGTTATTATCCTCTCTACTTGTCCTAACTAGAGTCACTAGGCTTCAGGAAACCGGTGATACGGAATTTGATGAAATATAGTGGGACTCTGGTTTAAATTGCATATTGTATGTGAATTGTTAATCAGTGGTAAAAAAAAATACTGTATTGTCATCACAATTGTTAGAAGAGATGGTCTCACCTAGAAAACACTGAGTAAGAAAGGTTCAGGCAAGGAATTTTCTTAATGATTGGGTCACTCATGATTTGTAACTTTTTCTGCTTTTTGAAATATGCATTCAACTATTCCTAGAAGGGAAAGTAAAAGTAATAGTCTCAGTTAGTTTTACTCCCTCGATGACATGGTGTATATATATATATATATATATATATATATGTTATTTTAAATGAAGATTTTTTTTTTTTTGTATTTATTCATTAGTGTAGAGCAGTCATTAGGAGGCTTGTATGTGACTGTATGACCTTAACATTTCTTAGGATCTGGTTGAATTGATGGGAAAACTAAATCAGAACCTAAACTGACAGGCACTAAATACCCATTTTAATTTAGATTTTCTTCTTTTCTCCTTTAAGCCTTGAACTGAGAGTCCCATTTCTAGATCATCGATTTTCTTCCTATTACTTGTCTCTGCCACCAGAAATGAGAACTCCAAAGGTGGGTAAATCAACTCAAGATAAAAACTGTCCATTGCCATCAGATTATGTTTGTAATTTTTAACTGATGCTCCTTTTTTTTTTTTTTTTCATATCAGAATGGGATAGAAAAACATCTCCTGAGAGAGACGTTTGAGGAGTCCAGTCTGATACCCAAAGAGATTCTCTGGCGACCAAAAGAAGCCTTCAGTGATGGAATAACTTCAGTTAAGAATTCCTGGTTTAAGATTTTACAGGAATACGTTGAACATCAGGTATAATGTCTTTAAAAACGTTTTTAGGAATGTGACAGTTTGGAACATCAGGTATAATGTCTTTAAAAACGTTTTTAGGAATGTGACAGTTTGTATGCAGAGCTGTCATTGCTGTTCATTCTGTGTTTAGTTTGAATGCTTTGTCCCTGTCAGAGAGATTCACAGTCTCTGTAAACACTTATCTCTTTTATAGGAATTACATAAGAATTAAGTAGCATGAAGGATTATAAAGTAGCATCTGGAATTGAAAAAGAGAGGAGACTTACTACTTATCATCACTGATCTTCATTTATCAGATTTTTGGGCACCTGCTGGGTGCCAGATCTTGTTAGGCACAAATGACTAAAATAGAGCCACTACGTATTAAAAATATGCATATGAGTGTTCTTTAAAAGGCACTGCAGCTATCCATATTATGAATACTTTAGCATTTTCTAAGTGATGGGTGATTCAAAGGGTCTCATACAATTTACAGTCATGTCTTATCTGAATGTTTTCTGTTTTGTGAGACCAGAGTCAACAAGCATTTCCTGCCATTTAAAAAAACTGTTTTGCTCCTATATGCTTATTCTTACAGGTTGATGATGCAATGATGGCAAATGCAGCCCAGAAATTTCCCTTCAATACTCCTAAAACCAAAGAAGGTTATTACTACCGTCAAATCTTTGAACGCCATTACCCAGGCCGGGCTGACTGGCTGAGCCATTACTGGATGCCCAAGTGGATCAATGCCACTGACCCTTCTGCCCGCACACTGACCCACTACAAGTCAGCTGCCAAAGCTTAGGTGGTCTTTATGCTGTAATGTGAAAGCGAATATTTCTTGTTGTTGTATGGGGACTATGGGTAGATAGGGGAACAATGAGAGTCAACTCAGGTTAACTTGGGTGTGAAAAAAATAAAAGTCCTAAATCTAAAACATTGCTATAGTCATTTATGTTCATACAGTCTCTTCATAAGAGGTAACTAAAATTTTTTTGCTGTATCACAGTAAAATGGAGGGTAAGCTAGGAAAAGGGAAAAGGATCTGATGTCTGCAAGAACTCACAGCCCTCTCCTGGCAGATCTGCTTTAGATGACATTTGCGTCTTGTACCCGTATGGCTTCCTTCCAGTCCTTGCCTCATCTTAGGGACGTCATCAAAGGACTACACTATTTTGGTTCTGCCTACATTCCTAACAGCTGCCTAATTAGACTTGAGACTTGAGTCTTCTATAGGCGTTCATGACAGCTGTATTTTGCAAGATAGTAGTTCATTTTTTTCTCTTTTATGTGGAGCCAAAGCCACTTCTGGCGACTTGTCCTAGAGCAGGGGTCAGGCTTTTTAAAAATTTTTTATTTGTTTTTAATAAAGAACCAGAGAGTAAATATTTTAGGCTTTGTGGACCTCTTTTGGGACTGTTCAGCTCTGCCATTATAGTGCAAAAGCAGTTACATAGACAATATGTAAATAAACGAGCATGGGCCGGGCGCGGTGGCTCAAGCCTGTAATCCCAGCACTTTGGGAGGCCGAGGCGGGCGGATCACGAGGTCAGGAGATCGAGACCATCCTGGCTAACACAGTGAAACCCCATCTCTACTAAAAAATGCAAAAAAACTAGCCGGGCGAGTTGGCAGGCGCCTGTAGTCCCAGCTACTCAGAGGCTGAGGCAGGAGAATGGCGTAAACCCGGGAGGCGGAGCTTGCAGTGAGCTGAGATCCGGCCACTGCACTCCAGCCCGGGCGACAGAGCGAGACTTCGTCTCAAAAAAATAAATAAATAAAATAAATGAGCATGGCTATGTTCTATTAAAAGTTACTTATAAAAGCAGATGGTGGGCCAGATATAGCCTGTGGGCCATAGTTTGTTGATTGCTGTTCTAGAGGAACAACCAAACTAACTAAGCATTTCTGGTAAAAGTCTGAACCTACTTGAAAGAGAAAGTGTAATAACACATTCAAAGAACAGGTAGAAGATTTTCATTTGAATGCTCATTGGTTGTTCAGGGACAACATTTCAAAATACATTATAAAGGTGAATTTAGCTCTTAAAAACTTTTGAAAAGGGAATTGCCTGTGTACAGGTAATACAAGGATGCTTAATGGAGGAAATTAAGCAGAAAATTGTCTGGTAAGTTGGAAGAAGGGTGTATTTTAGGCTAGCTGTAGGCCTTTATGATTAAAGAATATCGCTAAGAAACTGAGGAAATGTCATTCATACTAGATGACTTTTTTGTTTGTTTTGTTCTGTTTTGTTTTAGTCAGTCTTGCTCTGTCACCCAGGCTGGAGTGCAGTGGCGTGATCTCAGCTCACTGTACCCTCCACCTCCTGGGTTCAAGCAATTCTTGTGCCTCAACCTCCCAAGTAGCTGGATTACAGGCAGGTGCCACTGTGTCTGGTCAATTTTTGTATATTTAGTAGAGATGGGGTTTCACCTTGTTGGCCAGGCTAGTCTCGAACTTCTGGCCTCAAGTAATCTACCCACCTTGGCCTCCCAAATTGCTGGGACTACAGGTGTCAACCACTGTACCCAGGCCTAGTAGATGACTTTTAATAATAATCTTGTGTTTGTAGGTGCTTAAGTTGCCTAAACCTAGAATGATTTGATTCTAGGCATATTTATTCCTGGTAAAGCCTCAGACAGCCAAGCTAAGTGACATCGAAAATACTTGGGAAACTTCGTTGAGAATGATTACACAATGTACATGACAAGATTAATGTATGACAGAAACCCCAAACTGCCAGTTTTCCAGGGAGTGGGGTTTGGCTCTAGATTTTTAACTTTAGTGACTGAGATCTGGCATATTTAGTTACCACCCAGAAGTTTGAGAGTAAAGATACTTAGTTAAGCCAATTTCATAGCAGCAAACTATAGGTCAATTATAATGGTAGCACCTTTCTGGATTTCAAACTACACCCCAGGCTTACAGAAGGTTATTGGCACAAAGAATAAAGCTAGCTTTTTCTCTCTTTTGCAATTTAAATTGTAGAAGATTTGAAGAAATGGTGGCCTTTGGGTTGTTGTGCACATGACTTACTAGCTCACTTATTGGCCAAGCCTGTTTTCCTGGATATTGGTAATTTAGTGCCAAGGAGGCACTAATCTACACAGCATCTCTAACAACCAATAGTCCAGTTCTTTTGAGCATAAACTAAAAGATTATTAGCTGATGTCATTCTGCCATTTCAGTCTGATGTGAGCACTGTCGTGAATGACCTGCCCTTTAGAGGTTTATTTCACTTTCTCTTAAAATCTGCTAAAAGGTACCATATAGTTTGACAGAATGATACACTTCTATTTAAAAAAAAAAAAGGGAAAATCCACCTAAAATCTACTTGTAAAGTTTTAACGTTTTCTTGAAGATCTTTTGCTATAAAGGGACAATTGTACATGTGTGGTAGATGATCTTGGTTAACATAAGGCCTGAAAGTTTCTTAAGTCCTTTACAAGGAAAAATATAAAAAGGAATTAATCCTAAGCTTATGATAGCCCAGTCTCCAAAGGATTATACTTTGTGGGAAATTTGCTTGTGTTAGACTGTGGTATGAACATCTTGAGGCCACAGAGTCAGAGCATGCTCCTGAATGCCTCCTGTCTTGGAATTGCCTTAGTTTGGCCTAGAATCTTTGATAAAGGATCCTTGGAACAGGTCCCTAGGAAGGGAAAGTCTGGCCACGAAGAAGCAAAGTGGAAGCTGGGCAGGGAGGCAGTTATATGTGGTTCTAGACTGTGTGGTGGAAAAATCAATACCAAGCATGTAATTAGCAGCTTTTCTAAGTACTTTTATTGTGTCAGCTCATTCTAATCTTAGGAAGTGTAGCAGATTTTATTTTCTAAAAGTGGCCATAGCAGTGTTCCTGGTCCCGTATACTCTTCCAGAGCCTGGCTGCCCCTCTGAAGAAGCAGCCTATTTCTTCTCTCCTTGAGCCTGGGCCAGATTTTGCAATTGCCTTATAGTAGAATACAGTGGAAGTGATGCTGCGTGACTTCTGAAACCAGGTCACAAAAAGTGATGTAGCTTCTGCTTTCTGTCTTTTGATGTATAAGGAAACCCAGGCCACATGGAGAGGCTGTATGTGAGTTTGGGCTGACCGCCCTAGCAAAGGGCTCAGTCAACAGCCAACAACGGCCACCAACTGCCAGCTGTGTCAGGGAGTGAGGCTCCAGATGGTTCCAGCTGCTAATCTTTGAGTCTTCTACCAGGAGTCCACACATGGAAAGGAGAGAGGAGCCATCCCTGCTGTGTGCTCTGTCCAAGTTCTTCATTCACAAATCTGTGAGCATAATAAAAACCTGTTTGACACCATTAAGTTCTGTGGTTTCTCACACAGGCATGGTAACTGAAACAGATAAACACTGTTATCCCCATTTTACACATATTAAATACATTGCTCATTTGGCTAATTAGTAAGTGGTGGAACCTTAAATTAGCCAGGTAGGTTGACTGCAGAGCCTTTGAGTTGTTCTTTTCTAAATATTGTCTTGTAATGTCAGCCTGAAACCATAGTCTGGGTCTCTGGTGTGAGTTGGGAGACTAAGGAAAAGGGCTTTTATTGGGAGCAAGAATCGGGATTGCAGGGAATCTCCCAGGGATTGCACTGAGGCTAATTTTTTTCTGTAATGACATAGGCTAGGTGATACTGAAAAAACAATCCCAAAATTTCAGTGCATTACCACAAAAGGGTTTTTTTTTTTTCCCCTCAAACTGTACGTCTACCTTGGCCTATGGAGGGCTCTGCACATTGTTGAGGGGGTTATAAGCACTCTGGAACCCAGGCTGATGGAGGCACAACCTTGACATAATTCCACCATCAGCAAGGCAGGGGATAAAGTGGTGAATTAGTTACTGAAACTTAAAGCTTCCACTCTGAAGTGACACATCACTTTTGTTCACGTTATGTATAAGTCATGTGGCCACACCTAACTTCAAGGGAGCATGTACCAGAAAGGAAAATAAAATATCTGGAGAATAGCACTAGCGACTCCCCAAATCTGCTCTTCAGTAACAAAATATTGAATTCACTCTCCTGTGAAAGAAATATATTCACCCCCTTTGGAAGGTTACAACTGAGGAATTCCACTGTGCAAGGACTCCAAGCCCAGAGTTTAGGATCTTTGGGTGATGTACTTATGTAGAAATCTATTTCAGGGCTGGAGATGGTACTTCATGAACTAAGAAAAAAGTGATCTCCCCATCTGTCCACTATATAATTCAGCAGGAATAGAATAACTGCAGCAACAACAAAACATATTTAAAAAGGATAAAACAGAAGAAATATAGCAAACCCTACTCAGGAGCAATTTTGACATCCTGCGGTCAGTCATTTGAGGGCCTCCAACTCCAGCAGAAAATTACCCTTCAGAGGTCACCAGCAGCCAAGACATCAATGTGTTGGCAGAAGGAGGCAGATTGAAAGAACTGGGAGAACCAGTATCTGAGCACAGGTGAGAAACAGAACAGTTTGAAGGGGAAGAGTTGATTTCTAGCAATAAAGCCAATTTGCCACATACTATTATAATTGTGGTTATACAGAGTGAGTGTTAACATTAATTGGTTACCCTTCCTGAGTGCCAAGGACTGCTCTAAAAGGTATAATCAGTCTTCACAACAGCTTGTGAAGTTTGTTCCTTTGAGCTCATCCATGTTTTGTGAATAAGGAAAGCAACATACAGAGGTGTTACATTGCATGCCTGAGGTCACATAGCTAACACGTAATAGAAGTGGGATATTGGATCCCAGGTTTCAGGGTTTTAGAGACCTTATGCTTAACCCCTACTCTGTTACTTTTCAAAGGGATAGACTATAGAATATAATTATGTACATGGAAAAAAATGTAATTCCATATTTTTTCTCTACTTCTGTCTTGTTAATGGGAGTATATGGTCTATTTTGTGGGTAGATCATAAGTTATTTAGGATATCTACAAATTTAAGCATA